AACAAATGTCCGGGCTGACCAGGGGCCAAGTATTGCAAAAAAACGACAACGGAGGTACGGGTCCGTGGCTGTCCCTCCTCATTTTCCTCGTCCCTTCCTTCTCTGACACCTTCTTCGTCCCTCCTCCTCCACGTCTTGTCGCACTCGTTAAACGATTGAGCTAGAGGGAGAGGCGGCAACGCGGCGAAGCTCGTTCCGACCCGCTGCCATTCAGCGCGCCATGGAGCTGCAAGGAATGAGCCCCAAATGGCTGCGCAAAGGGGAAAATGGTAATTTTGTCGTCGTGATTGTGTCGCCAGCGTCGTCATACTCATCGTCGTCGACTGCTGCCCAGCTGCTGTTGTCCAGGGCGCTCAGCCTGCAGCCAGGGACCTAAGCACAGTCGACAGAACAAGCGTCGATACGACAAAGCCACTGGCACGGCAAACGACCAGCAAGAAGGCCTCGTTCTCGGAACGACCAGTTGACGAGCCGCCCCTCCGATTGTTGACGAGGAGGGGATGGCGACGGGTGAAGAAGAGGCGGGAGGAGGAGGAGGAGGAGGAGGAGGAGGAGGAGGAGGAGGAGGGAGGAGGGAAGAGGATGGGGGGAGGAGGAGGAGGAGGAGGAGGAGGAGGAGGAGGGCGGACGACGGAGGAGGAAGACGAGGGAGATAGGAGGAGAGAGGAGACGGACAGGAGAGCTGACGGGAAGAGGAGGGAGGACGAGGAAGGGAGGAGGGCCGGGGAGGCAGGAGGCAGGAGTTCGGGGCAACGCGCGGGGGGGGCACAAGTGCAAGGGGGAAAACGCCGGGCCAACATCGGCGAGGCACCGCCGAGCTGGCTCGGCGACGGGACCCCGACGGCGAATCCGCACGCGTTCCTGGGCGGGCGGGCTGGCAGGCCCCTCTCTCGGCGACGAATGGACGATGGGGGGTCGATGTATCCGTCCCTGAGCCTATCCCCCGATCCCTACTGTTAGGTCGGGCCTGTCCCCCACACAGGGGGATCTTGGGCAAGAAAAACAAAAAAACGCAAGAAATGCCCCAAAATAGTCAAAGAAACGCTCAGAAAATGGTCCCCAGGCCAGTGTTTGACTATTCTGAAATCTTCCTCCTGTAGAGGGACAGGCCCGACGTAAGCCTATCCCCCGATCCCTACCGCCGCCCCTGAAGAAGGGAGGGATAGGAAGGCACCAACTATACACCAACACCGATCCTGGCCCAGGATCACCCTGGGCCCAGGATCGGTGTATACGCCATCCTGCCTTGCGCAAGAAGGCATATACACCGATCCTGGGCCCAGGGTGATGCTGGGCCAGGATCGGTGTTGGTGTATAGTTGGTGCCCTCCGAGAGGGAGGAGGGCAGCCGCCAGAGGAGGGAGCCGCCACCACCACTAACGGCCGCCACCGCTACTGGCGCGACCGCAGCGCGAGCGCGATGGCGCAGGGGCCCACCACAAAAGGGCGGCCTCCCTCCCGCGCCTCAGGGCGAACTGCGCTGGCGCGGGAGCGGGCAGCAGCAGATCGATACATAGGATCGGGTCGGATCGTGCATCGAATCGGGCCGCATCGGACGGAGTCGGAATCGAATCGCGTCGGCCGCGCCAGGATGCACAACAGCGCCACGCAGACGTCGAGCCGCATCAGACCGACTGGCGGGAAGCAACCGGGCCCCGGGGCCTTCCCCCAGGACCAGCTCCTCCTCCTGTCGTTTTTGACCACCCATGGGCCCGGGGAAGCCAGAAGGGGCGAAACAATTCGGGACCCGTGTTCTGCAGGACCCGCTTGCTCCATGGCGAATCGTCGGTACACTGGAACCGAATCGGAGCGGGCCTGCCAGAATCGGCATCGAGCCGGAACGATTGGACGAAGTGGACCCTGCGCCGGCGGGGGGGGGGAAGATCGCCGCCAACGCGATGGGGCCCCTGGCGGGAACTCCGACGAGGGCGGCAAACACAGTGTCGGTGCTTCCGTCCCCGCCCTCTCCCGTCCACACGTCGGCCCACCCGAAGAGAAAAAAAGGGAAGGTGCACTGTTTCCCCCAGGGCCGTAGGCGACCCGAGGAGAAGGAGGAGGAGGAGGAGGAGGAGGAGGAGGGGGAGGAGGAGGTGGGGGAGGGGGAGGAGGAGATGGAGGAGGAGGAGGAGGAGGAGGAGGAGGAGGAGGAGGAGGAGGAGAGCCACAGGCTGAGGAGAGCGGGGCCAGCCGTCGTCGTCGTCGGCCCGCCACCTTGACCATCGTGGCCGCGCGCCGCGGCGGTTGCGATCTGCAGCCGCTGCAACCGCACCCGCCGGGGCGGCACCCCCCCGCGCGCCACCGAGCTGCTTGCTGCGGGGCCAGTGCTACAAGACGGCCCCAGACCCCCTCTCGGCCCTGCCACCTGCGAGGAGGCGGCGAGCGCGGACGTCTGGCCTCCCACAGGGCCGCGCTGCCGTAGCTGCCAGCCGCGGCCGCCTCGCAGCCAGCAGCACAGGCACGAGACATGACCGAGAACGGCTCGAGGTCGCTGCACGCCGCGGCACGCAGGACAGGCTACAGCACGAGGAGAAATCAGATGATCGACTGGTGCGACCTCCGCGCGCTGGTTGTCGCTGCCGAGATCAGCGGAAGGGAGCACAGCAGGAAGCACGACTGGAAGGCACAAAACAGGTACAACAGGTACAACAAGTACAACACGGCGTACAGCAGGAACCGCGATTGGGAGGACCCCCGCTGGCAGCACGACCAGGTCCGCGACAGGGGCGAGCAGCACCAGCCACGCGCGCAGCACCAGGAGCGCGGGCAGCACCAGGAGAGCGTGATGCGCGAGCGAAGGCCCGACCCCACGGTCTGGGAGCCGCGCTCGCAGCGGGAGGGCACTGGCTGCCCCCCGCCCCAGGATGAGCCTGCCGAGAGCGAGGCAGACTCCGAGCCGACGCCGAACTCAGTGGAGACATCCCTGTTGAACCCAGACGCTGCGGAGTTCAGGCCCTCGAGGGCGCCGAAGTCACGGCGACTGGTGAGCCGAGCGGCACGTCATCAGATAGAGAAAGAGAGAGAGAGGGAGAACGAGCAGCACCTCCACGGCGTGAGCGAGGGGCACTTCTGCGGCGAGAGCGGGAGGCACCTTCACAGCGAGAGCGAGGGGCAATTCCACGGCGCGAGCGGGGAGGCACTACCACGGCGAGAGCGAGGGGTACTTCTGCGGCAAGAGCGGGGAGCCCTTCGCCATCACGTGCTACAGCGGCACGGTCTTCTTCGGTGTCCGCCACGCCACTCTCCGCACCTGGGGAGCGCCGCCAGGTCAGGGCCGGCCCCAACCCCCGCTGGGGGATGAAACTGGCCTTAATCAAACAAATCGGGAGGCGGAGCCGTACGTGCCCTACGCGCGATGACAGCGCCGAGGACTGCTCGGACGACGGGCGCGAGAACGAGGGCGAGGAGTGCGACGAGTACGTGGGTGACGGCGGGCTCGAGCACAGCGCCGAGGAAAGCAACGAGTACGAGGGCGACGCCGTCCTCGAGGACTCGATCGAGGCCATGTGGAGCAGGATGGAGATCCCCACCAGCATCCGACGCCCCTGGTGCGTGTTCGCGCACGACGCCGAAGATTGCTCTGACGACGGGCGCATCGTTGCCATTCTCGCCCTTGGCGAGCAGGCCACTTTCGAGAGGCTGGCCGTCGAAGAGCACTTCACGTACCACGCGGTCTCGTTGTGCGAGTTAGCCGCCATGCGAACTACACGGCTTCCAACGCGCACGGCTACGACCTTTGGGAGGAGCTCTGCGACGACGACAGAGCAACCTGGGTGCCGCTGAGCCCCCGCGAGATGCTGGACCAGCTCGACCCTCGTTGGCGACCTCTTCTCGCGATGGGGGCTGAGGAGCAGCCGCCGCCCACGCCCAGGGGCTGAGGACCGGCCGCCGAGCGCCGAGGCCCGGAGAGGCCCCTCCCGCTGCAGCGGCCGCCGAGGCGCCCCCCGCTGCAGCGGTGGCCAGGAGGAGGGGCAGCGCCGCCCGCCGCCGCTGCTGCACGGCGCCGCCCTGCGGCCCTTCGGCTGCTGCTGCCCGCCGCGGGCCGCGGCCCGCCGCTCCCCCCTGGCGGACTCGCCGCCGCCGCTTTCGCCCCCGCCACCGACTGGCTGAGAGGGCGGCCGCCGCGGACAGGGGGGCCGAAGGCCCCCCCAGGAGCACCCCCAGGAGCAGCGGACAGCAGAGTCGACGACGACGGTGAGAAGAGGACGAGGGTTGGAGCAGCAGCTGCAGCAGCGAGGAACGAGGACCGCGCCCGCGGCCGCGGCAGCGCCCGACGCGCAGACTTGTGGACTCCGCGGGGCTCGCCGCCCCTCTCGGGAGTGTGAGAGAGAGGAGGAAGAGGAGGAGGAGGAGGAGGAGGAGCAGGAGCAGGAGCAGGAGCAGGAGCAGGAGCAGGAGCACGAGGAAGAGATGGAGGAGGAGGAAGAGGAGGGGGAGGAGGAGGAAGAGAGGAGGAGGAGGAGGAGGAGGAGGAGGAGGAGGAGGAGGAGGAGGAGGAGGAGGAGGAGGAGGCAGGAGGAGGAGCAGGAGCAGGAGCAGGAGCAGGAGCAGGAGCACGAGGAAGAGATGGACGAGGAAGGGGAGGAAGAGGAGGAGGAGGAGGAGGGAGGAGGAGGAGGAGGAGGAGGAGGAGGAGGAGGAGGAGGAGGAGGAGGAGGAGGAGGAGAGGAGGAGGAGGAGGAGGAGGAGGAGGAGGGAGGAGGAGGAGGAGGAGGAGGAGGAGGAGGAGGAGGAGGAGGAGGAGGAGGAGGAGGAGGAGGAGGAGGAGGGAGGAGGAGGAGGAGGAGGAGGAGGAGGAGGGGAGGAGGAGGAGGAGGAGGAGGAGGAGGAGGAGGAGAGGAGGAGAGGAGGAGGAGGAGGAGGAGAGGAGGAGAGAGGAGGAGGAGGAGGAGGAGGAGGAGGAGGAGGAGGAGGAGGAGGAGGAGGGGGAGGACGGGTCGCCCAAGCCCCTCGGGGAAACCCTCCAGACCAGGAAGGGGGCGGGAAGAGCTCAGAAGCGAACGTTCCCCTTTCCGGCCGCTTGCACAACCCCGACTCCCGCCGGGCTGCCCGGGCTTGCCGTCGGACATGCCGCGGCCAAGTCTGCGCCGCAAGGCCGATTCTGCCAACCCAGACTGCAATCGCGATAAACCAGGGCGCGGCCGATTCCTCCCGGGACCTCCCATGGCCAGGAAAACCCATGGTTCGCCAAGGGCTGGCCTCCCTTCGAAACAGCCGAGAACCTCCCGACACCCTCCGAAATCCCTCGTGGAAAGTTTCCTGGCGTTTTTGTCGGAAGGTTTCGGGCGGGTCCTGGAACGGTTTTTCGTCGCTTGGGAGGATGGGACGCACAGAGACATACTAATACCAGATGTCCTCCTTGGACACGCGCCCGGCCCGAACATATAGCATACCCATGTTGCAACACATCGTTTCCCGAGCGGTGTGGCCTGAAAGCGCCAGGCACGACGCATATACTATAAGACTTTTCGGTGCGGGTGTGGCCCATGGGGGGGGCACGGACCTGTGGCATCAGCATGTTGGAGTGACGCCGAAAGGAGACCAATCCCCAACGAAAACTGGCTTTCTACTCCTGTGGCCATCGGGCGGCAGCGGAGGGGGGCCGGTCGAACGACCACGACGGCCCCCTCCCTGGCGCCTGCCGTCTTGGCTGAGCATATCCCGGGGGCTCCCCGCCGCCACGGCCGGGTCCGCCTCGAATGACAAGCCAGATGGGGCCGCAAGAGCAAGAGCAAGAGCAAAGCTGGCGCAAAGCACCGCGAGGGAGCTGAGGCCGAGGCCCGCTCTTTGGGGCCCCAACAGGGCTTCCAAAAGAGCCCCGAGAAAGCCCCGGGCCCAAAAAGGACCTCCAGAAAGCCCCAAGGTGGCTGGCTAACTGTTTCTCAATGGGCTGGTGGGGAATTGTTGTTCGCGAGCGCAGACGGAAGTGCCGCGCGCGTTCCACAGGAACTGGCGGGGATACTTATTTGATCGCGACCGCGGCGAGAGAGGTCGGGCGCCGTCCAGGATCGTAGCACACGGGCAACGGTCTAAATTCGCGCACAGGGAGGAGGGGCGAGAAGAGACAAGAGACGGCGGGGAGAGGAACAAACAGGAGGCGGGCCTCGCCGCCGCTCAAAGGAGGGCGCACACCAGGAAGATCTCCCAGGCGAAGTGCAACACCAAAATGGCGGAATTCGAGTTGACCGACACCACGCACAAGCCGAGGAGGACCACCAGCAGGGCGCACAGCGAGCCCAGGGCCAAGTCATGGCATCGCGGATGCGAGCGACAGCGATGTCGCGCGCCTCGGCGGATGTCGACCAACGCCATGCGGGCGCTCAACGGAGCAAGTCCGGATCGCCAGACACCGTCGAGACAGGTGTCGGAGGGCGCCGCCAGGGCGGGCGCGAGCAGCACCAGGAAGGCTAAAGGCCCAGCACGAGGACCGACAGGGATGAGCCTGCGCGGCGGGGGAGGGCCGGGAGGCCGTCAACCCCGCGCGGGGAAGGAGGCCGCGGGCCCAGGAAAACAAGCCGGCAGGCAGACAGAGAGGCAGCCGGGGACAGGCGGACGACAGATATGGACGGCCCGCGCCGGCCGTCACGGGGGAGGCCAGGCGGCACCTTGAGCGGGGCAAGGGCCGCCGGGCAGGGCGCCGAGGGGGGCGCGCCGCGGCAACGAGCCCGGACGCCCCCAAGCCCCCGAGACAGAGCGGGCCGGAGCGCCGAAGGAGCCCCCAGCGCCCCACGCAGGGCGGGGCGCAGGGGAGCTGCCCAGCACTGACAAGCGAAGGGCCGCAAGAGACCCAGTGGCAAGGGCGCACTGGGAGACCGGGCGCGGGCCGACAGCCCCAGCTGGGCGCGCGCCGGGCGGCATTGGGCACGAGGCCAGAACGGCCACGGGGGGGCCGCGAGAAGGAGGGCGGGCGGGGGGCAGGCCAGGCGGGGGGGGAGAAGAGGCAGAGGAGGCCGCGAGCGCCGATCGGCGAGGGCAAGCCCCCACGCCTCAGCAAACTTGGTCCGGAGGCGGGCGCGGTCCTTCTGCCAGGGACAGCAGATGCCGAGAATGGCCTCCAGGATGTCACGGGAGGCGGAGGGGTCGGGGAAGGGCCACAGGAGCGAGCGCGGCTCTCGCTTCATGAGCATCATGACGAGGAGTGCGCAACGGGTTTTCTCCGATGTCATGGGCGGGCCGTCGGGGCCCAGCAAGGCGGCTCGATGGCACGTGGAGAGGCCGCGCCCCCGGGGCAGCGACACCAGGGTGTCGAAGCCGGGGTAGACGAGGCGGCGCATGCAGCTCCTGGCCCCGCGCGACCACATCCTGGGGACCTCGCGCGAAAGGTCCGTCGGAACGCACAGGCCCTTGATGCGCATGCGGCGCGAGGGCCCCCCCTGGACCTGGGGCCGCGGGGGGCAACCGTCGGCGCGCACTACGCGCGTCGGCATCTCCCAGGGGACGCCAATGCCGAGCGCCCAGACGAGGGTGGCCCACGTCATATTGCACACCAAATTGCCGGCGTCAACGCCGAGCTCGACATCGAAGAGGTATCCCAGGTGGCCCCACGCTTTCCGGTCGAACTGCGCGGGGCCGGCGGGGGCGCCCTCGGCGTTGAACTTGCGGGGGTGGAGCCCTGAGACCAGAAATCGAACCACGGACAGCGCGGGAATGGAGAGGAGCTCCTCCAAGGCTTTGTCGAGTTGGCGGCCGAGGGCGTCCTGGGAGATGCCGTTGTCGATGGGGGGGGCCGTAGCACGCGCTCAAGCTCTGGGCGTACTGGCCCCTCTTCCTTGCGATGGCCTGGTCGATCTTAACCCTGTCCTCGTCGGCCTGGGCGGCGGCCATGGAGCCGGAGCCCTCGGGAACCCACGAGCCGAGGTCGTTGATTGGGTCGAATGAGCAGTCCAGCACCAGCTTGTCGCGGTCGCCAAGGTGGCGGCGGGGGTAGACGCGGACCCACAGGCCAGCGAGACGCCCACAGTTGGAGAGCAGCCTCAGCTTTGAGTCTTTCATCGAGGCCATCATGGTTCCGTCTCCGATGATAATACGTCCACACATGGCACGCGTCGGTCCGACGTTCACTCTGCTGGGGTTGGCGACGAAGCCCCACGCGTGGTTGGAGTTGGCGCGGGTGGCGAGGAAAATCACCAGATGGGCCTCGCCTCTTTGGCTCGAGTCAACAGTAGAGAGGGTGGGGCGGCCTGATTCGAAGTGATTGTGGACGATCTGGCGGTGCCCGGAGAATGAGAGGTCGGCGCCATTGTCGATGGTGGGCCTCACCTTGAAGACCAGACTGCCGCCGCGGCGTTCGGGGGTGTAGTCGGGGTCGCCGATCCCCAAGGCGGAATCGGCGTAGGTGGAGGTCTGCACTGAGGCCGCCACGGAGGGCGCTGGCGAGCGGCTCCGTCGTGGCCCGGGGGGGCAAGGAGCGCGGTCTGAGGCGTCTCGGCGCAGCCGGGGGGAGGCACCTGCAGAGTGTACTCGGCACGCGGCCAGGGGGGGAGCGGCCTGCGAGGTCTGGGCCACGGGGGGCCTTGTCATCGCACATGGCTATCTGCATGGCTGCTGGGCTGAGCGGCCATCCGTCTTTGAGGAGCTCCTTCAATAGTCTGTAAGGAACGATGACCTTGACGGTGAGCCCATTTTCCAAGGCAGGGAGAAGGGCCCGGACAAGGTCGATTGCCTGGGCGGCCTCAGGGATGTTGGCATATCCCTCGGCGAGGGTGGAAGTGAGCTCATACGATTTGTTGTGCACCAATAGGTTGCGATGGGCATCATCCAGGGAATCCTCCTGTGATCGGGATGGATCTCGCGGCACTCTGGTATGAGGGCTTCGCAGCGGACCTTGAGGAGCTGCGCCAAGGACCGAAACAGCTCGGAACTTAGATCTGACACGGGGGCCCAGGGCAGGGAGGGCACCAGGCGGCGGTCAGCCAGGGGGTCGAGGAGCCCGCCGACGAGGGCATTGTTGTCGTAGGACACCGAGGGGAAGAACGTGAGAAAGGGGTGCATGCGGTAGGAACGCGACAGGGTGATGCACGCACCTTTCTGGTCCCCGAGGGAGTCGTAGAGACGCTGGAAGATCGAGAGGGCCCTGCCCGGGTCCGCGACCTTTTTGGACATGACGGTTGGGGGGGGAGCTGCTGGGGATTGTTGTTGGTCAGCGGCCTCGTGAAGCGGGTCAGAAGGCGTCCAAACTCTAGCCGGGCCACGACTAGGCAGCAGAAAAGCGGAAAGCGGAAAAGCAGCTTCTGGGGATACTTTTTTCGGTCGCGGCCGCAAGACAAGGGTCAGACGGCGGAAGCAAAGTCCGGGGCACGAACGAAGCTAATTAGCTACAGCAGGCACAGGCCGGCCGGCCCGCTCATAAAGCAGCCGCGAAGCTGTAGGGGAGCTGACGGCAGGGGTATCCTGAGAGCTCGAGCACGTGCACAGACAAAATGTTATGGAATTCGGTGCCCGCCACAGCCTGAGACGTGAACCAGGACAGGATGACCAAGTCCGTCAATCTGAGTGGGGGCAAGTGGGAGGCCGGTGGAGTGAGTCGCCGGTGGGGCGCCAGACTCCAAACGCCCACGACGACGTCTGCAAGCCAGGGGGCAGGGCTGTCGCGGAACGTGGTGCAACGCACCTGCCGGGAGCTGGTTGATGAGCCTGGGGTGCTGTACCTGCTGCGGAAGGCTGAACCACTCCGTGGCGACACCAACACCCGATAGACCGCCCCACAGCGCAGGGGGGAACCAAGCGACTGTGGGCCACGCAGCGCGTGCCGGCACGGCGTCAGGCCTCAGAGGGAGGGGGGGAGGACCAGCTGGCGTGGTGAGCATCGCCAGCGGGGGGAGTGAGGGGGGGCAGCACTGGTGGTAGTGCTGCTGCCTTCGGCGGTGTCATAGGGCGATGCACCAGAGGGAACTGCACTGTGGAGGACACGTGGGCCAGGAGGCAAAGTCTGGCCCACTCCGACGCTTGGCACTGCCCCCCAGACCCGTGAGCCTACACACACCACGTGGTCCTCCAGGGCCGAAGCAAACGCCGCTGCTGGGGATACTTTTTTTGGTCGGCGGTTCCAAGGCAACGGTCAAGGAGCGAAAGCGGCGTCCGGGTGGCGGTACGGGGCGAATTTGCAAACAAAGCCGCTGCTGGGGGTACGCGAAGCGTCGAGAACTCTGAGCGGACGTGGGCCAGGCCTGAGGGCTGCCGTCGCTGCAGGGGGGATGCTGGACAACATACATACATATATACATACATGCATACAGCATGCATGCATGCAGCATGCATGCATGCATGCATACATACATTCATACATACATACATACATACATGCATACATACATACATGCATACATACATGCATACATGCATACATACATACATATATACATACCTACATATATACATACATACATACATACATACATACATACATACATATATACATACATACATACATACATACATACATGCATGCATGCATACATACATACATACATACATACATACATACCTTACATTATATTACATTACATTACATTACATTACATTACATTACATTACATTACATTACATTACATTACACGCATGCATGATTGCATGCATACATACATACATACATTGGTCATTTGAGTTCTGCACGCAAGCGGAATGCGTGCGTGCGTACATGCGCGCATGCACGTACACACGCGCACGTGCATGCACGTTCACCTTGAGGCCCCCTGGAGGCCTCACGATCATCTTGTGAAAGTTGTTGGGGGCATCCTCGGGCATCTTCGCTGCATGCTACGAGACCCTCAACGACTGGGTCACCATGTCATCCGTCATGGGAGCAAAATCAATGAATGTTGGCATTTGGAAACATCGTGCGGGTGTTTTCGGAACCCTCGTGGACCGTTTTGGCGCCTTCATGGGCCGTCCTGGGGCCTTCTTGGGCCGTCTTGGGGAGCTTGGGCCCGCTGGAGCCCCCTTTGGACCCATCTTGGGCACTTCCGGGGACCTCCCATGGCCCTTTGGGGTCTGTGCTGGGAGCCCTTGGGGGGCCTCTTGGTTCCATTATGGGCTGTCTTGGGGCTCTCGTGGGCGATCGTGGGGCCCGGCTCGGCCGTCTTGAAGCTTTCTTGGGGGCCTTTTGGGGCGTCTTGAGGCGATCTCGGGGGCTTTGAACCGTCTTGAAAGCTGATGAAATCCGAAAGGCGAATATGCTAAAATTGTAAGTTTCACGAAGGGAATGGGACATGTTTGTGCTTTGAAGGCCCCTTGGAAAGCTTTTTGGGGTGCCTTGGGGGTCTTTATGTTGGCATTCGGAAACATCGTGGGGGTGTTTTCGGGGCCCTCGTGGGCCGTTTTGGCGCCTTCATGGGCCGTCCTGGGGCCTTCTTGGGCCGTCTTGGGGAGCTTGGGCCCGCTGGAGCCCCCTTTGGACCCATCTTGGGCACTTCCGGGGACCTCCCATGGCCCTTTTGGGTCTGTGCTGGGAGCCCTTGGGGGGCCTCTTGGTTCCATTATGGGCTGTCTTGGGGCTCTCGTGGGCGATCGTGGGGCCCTCGGCCGTCTTGGCTTTCGGGGGCAAGCTTTCTTGGCTGGGCCTTTGTGGGGCGTCTTGAGGCGATATCGGGGGCTTTGAAAGCTTTCTTGTCTCTTGAATATCGGGGGCTTTGAAACCGTCTTGAAAGCTGATGAAATCCGAAAGGCGAATATGCTAAAATTGTAGGTTTGACGAAAGGAATGGAACGATTTTTGTGCTTTGAAGGCCCCTTGGAAAGCTTTTCGGGGTGCCTTCGGGCTTTATGTTGGCATTCGGGAACATCGTGGGGGCGTTTTCGGGGCCCTCGTTGGCCGTTTTGGCGCCGTCATGGCCGTCCTTTGGGCCGTCTTGGGGAGCTTGGGCCCGCTGGAGCCCCCTTTGGACCCATCTTGGGCACTTCCGGGGACCTCCCATGGCCCTTTTGGGTCTGTGCTGGAAGCCCTTGGGGGGCCTCTTGGTTCCATTATGGGCTGTCTTGGGGCTCTCGTGGGCGATCGTGGGGCCCGGCTCGGCCGTCTTGAAGCTTTCTTTCTTGGGGGCCTTTTGGGGCGTCTGGAGGCGATCTCGGGGGCTTTGAAACCGTCTTGAAAGCTGATGAAATCCGAAAGGCGAATATGCTGTAAATTGTAAGTTTCACGAAGGGAATGGGACGATTTTTGTGCTTTGAAGGCCCCTTGGAAACCTTTTTGGGGTGCCTTGGGGGTCTTTTGGGCCGCCCTGACGCAGTTGGAGTCCCTCTTGGAGCGCTCTTGTGCTGTCTGGGGCCTCCCTTGAACCTTTCTGATGACCCCTCGTATCGCTCTGGGTCTGCTGGCAAGGCGTTTGTGGAGATCCGAAAAGCCCGGTGACCTTTTCCAAGGACGTCCAAGGGAGCCCGAGAACCCCAGATCCCAGGGGTCCAGTTTGAGGGGGGGGCGAGGGTTTTTCCCCCCCCCCCCCCCTGGCTTGCAAAAATATAGGAAGAGGAATATGTATACATGTACGTATGTATACGTATACATATATATATATATATACATACATACATACATATATATATATATATATATATATATATATATATATATATAACGAAGGGGATTTTCGCTGTCTTCGGCCCCTGGGGGCCCGTACTGGGCCTCGGGACATCAAAAAGCGATGCAGGATGAAAAACCTGTCCCCAGGAAGTGGTCAGACCTCTGGGTGTCGACGTTGTTTATCGATAAGTACTCAATTATACACACATACACACAAACATACATGCGTGCATACATGCATGCATGCATACATACATTACATGACATGACATGGCATGACATGACATGGCATGAATTGATATGACATGGTATGGCATGGCATGACATCACATAGCATAGCATAACATAACATAACATAGCATACCATAACATAACATAACATAACACACCATACCATACCATACCATACCATACCATACATACATACATGTATACATGTATGCATACATACGTACACACATGATGTAAGACAACACGTCACATTGAAATACATTACATTATACTACATTACCTTACAAAACACTGTAACGCAATACACTGCGTTACATTGCATTATATTGCAGTACAGTGCAGTACAATGCATTCCATTACTTTACAATACATCACATTACATTAGTTTACAGTACATACATACAAACAGACAAATAAACAAACATACACACATACAGTCATGCATGCCTGCATGCATGCAGATATGCATGCATACCTAAGTACATACAAACATACACACACATGCATACATACATACAGACATGCATGCATGCATACATGCATGCATACATGTATACATATGTATACAGTATGTAGATACAGAACCACGCGCGAAGTCACAGACCCAGGCGCGCGAAGCGTCGAGTCGTCAGACCCAGGAATCGTTGTGAGAAGAAATTGGTGACGCGAAGCGTCGTGGGGGCGTCCTTGGACGTCTGGGGTCTCCTGGGGCCTCTTGAGGGGCCTCCTGGGGGCCTCCTGGCGGCCTCTTGGGGCGGAAGGCTCGAGCTTGCGGTTCGTGGTCCCCCTCTGGGCCCCCTCTTGGGCCCGTCTTGGGGCCCTCTTGGGCCATCTTGGGCGCCTCTTGGGCCGTCTTGGGGCCCTCTTGGGCTGTCCTGGGGCCCTCTTGGAAGCTTCTTGGGCCGTCTTGGGGCGGTCTTGGGCGCCTCTTGGGCCGTCCTGTAACGTCGGAAAGCCCAAAAGGCGACTTTGTTGAAAATGTACGTTTTACGAAGGGAATGGGCCAATTCTTGCGTCTAGGGGCCCTCTTGGGACGCATGTTGGAGGCTTCTTGGGGCCTCTTGGGGGCGTCCTTGGACGTCTGGGGTCTCCTGGGGCCTCTTGAGGGGCCTCCTGGGGGCCTCCTGGCGGCCTCTTGGGGCGGAAGGCTCGAGCTTGCGGTTCGTGGTCCCCCTCTGGGCCCCCTCTTGGGCCCGTCTTGGGGCCCTCTTGGGCCATCTTGGGCGCCTCTTGGGCCGTCTTGGGGCCCTCTTGGGCTGTCCTGGGGCCCTCTGGGAAGCTTCTTGGGCCGTCTTGGGGCGGTCTTGGGCGCCTCTTGGGCCGTCCTGTAACGTCGGAAAGCCCAAAAGACAACTTTGTTGAAAATGTACGTTTTACGAAGGGAATGGGCCAATTTTTGCGTCTAGGGGCCCTCTTGGGACGCATGTTGGAGGCTTCTTGGGGCCTCTTGGGGGCGTCCTTGGACGTCTGGAGGCCATCTTCAGCATCTCGGAGCCCTCTTGGAGGCCTCTTGGAAGTTTCTTGGGCCGTCTTGGGCGCTTCTTGGGCCGTCTTGTCTGACTGGGGAGGCCCCCGGCAAGCCCCGACGAGCCTCCGGGCCCCCCGGGGTGCACATTTGCGGTCGAGGTCCCGGCCCCGGGCCCCCGGACCCGGTGCGCCGATATATGTATATACATATATACATACACACACATTAATGAGGAGGACAAACCAGGCGCGCTCGCGTCACATCTGACATCCTGCCCCCGACACCCATCCCTTCCCACTGCGCGGCGTTTCCTCTCTCTCTCTCTCTCTCTCTCTATCCGCCGACGCGTGACGGAGCGGCCCTGAACTCCAGAGAGGACTTTCCCATTGTGTTGTGCGCGGTCGAAAAATGCAGCTGCGTACACTGGAGGTGGAAGTCGTGGATGAGCAGGAGGACGAGGAGGAGGAGGAGGAGATGGATGAGGAAGGGGGTGAACGAGTGCGAACAGCAGCAGCAGGAGCTGGAGTGGAAGGAACGGGAGGAGAAGGAGGGCCAGGGGAAGGCGGAGGGGAAATTATGTGGGCGACAACGATAAAAAAAGGATTCGGATCCAGACAAGTGGCCGCGCTGGGGCGAGAGCGACATTCTGAACGATGGGAGTAAAGCGCCGATCCGAAAATGAGGCCCACGCTGGGGCGGGAGCACCGCTCTGAAAAGCCAAAAACGATCGGGCTGCGAAAAAGCTACAAGGATCAAACAAAAATCCTGCTCGTACGCAAGAAACGCAGAGAGGGCCGACTATCTTCCAGACAGAATTTGAGGAGAGAGGATGGCATTCCGGAGGAGGAGAAGGCCGCTGGCGTGTGACGCATTGCTCACCGACAGCCCCGATCTGCTTCAAGCATCGGGGCACCAATTAAAGCCCTGCTCGTCCTCAGCAACGCGTGAATTATGGGGAAAGGCGCCACATCGCGCCGCTCAAGCTGCAGCTCTGGCCAGAGGCAAAACACAGAGGAGGAGGAGGAGGAGGAGGAGGAGGAGGAGGAGGAGGAGGAGGATGAGGAGGAGGAGGAGGAGGAGGGGGAACAGCTCGAGAGCTGCTGCGCGGTGGCCGGCCGCCCTGCCAAGCGGCTGGCTCTTGGGGCCAGGCCGAGGGCAGTGCGAGGCACAAGAGGGGAGGCCGGGGCCAGCGGGAGGGGGCAGGCAGGCAGACGGCCAGGCGGACGAGGGGCCCAGACCACCTCGAGTCATGAAAAAATCACGACGGGAGGTTTTTCCATATTTGCGGCTTTGGGGGGCCCCTACCGGGCCTCGGGACCGTCAAAAAACGATTCAGGATGAAAAACCGGTCCTGGGGAATGGGTCCAAACCTCTGGGGGTCGACGCCATGAAAAAATCATGACGTCGGGGGTCTGGGGGGGACGAGGGCGGAGGCAGGAAGCGGGGGGGGGGGAGGCAGAGGACAGGAGCGCGGTGGAGGGCAGGGAACGGAGGGGCTGGAGCGAGGGCAGACCTCAGGACAGCCACAGAAGCTGGGAGGAGGCAGGAGGCACCAGGGAGGAGGGAGCAGCGAAGAGCGTGGAGGAAGAAGGGATGAAATAAGATGGGCGGACGATCACATATCCCACCATCTGCCCCAATCCCTCCTCGAGCGTTCGGCCGCAGACTCGCAACGGCGGAAAGAGAGAGAGAGATAGGGGGACAGAGAGAGAGGGGGGCGGGCGGACGTGGGTGTGGGCGCCGACGGAGACTAGAAGAAGAAGAAGAAGAGAGAATAGAATAATAGAATAGACGAAACGCCCTGGCACGCAGAGTGCACCAGGGGCGGCGTCGCAGGCGCCGCTGGCGATGGGGGCACAGCGCGGATCCAAGAGACCCGCGCGGAGCGCCAAAAGTTTATGTTCACGGCCTTTTTCTTTCTTCGAGAAAAAACCATGGACCGCCCAAGCATGGAGAGGGCAGCTCGGAATTATTGTTTTGGCCTGAAGCACGTCTTCAAGAAGGTCTGGGACATCCCATACACAGTGTCCGTGAGCGACGACGCCCCTTACTCAGTTTGGGTTGGGGGGTAGTTGGCTGTGACTGCTCACATTTTCCCAGACAAGGTCGTTCGCGAATGGCATGGGGAAGGGGCCACTTGGGAGGAGCTCCACAGCAGCCAGGAGGTAAGGGACCTCACGAATTAGTGCGACTCGCTTGCCGAGAAAGCCGCCAAGGGCATGAAAGGAGGAGCGAAAGGAACCTCCAAAGGCCACGGTAAAAGCGGCGGCCCGGAATAGGGCCTACAGGAGCCGTCCGGCGCAGTCTCACCGAGAGTTTCACCATCGAAGTCTTTATTAACACATGTACATACGCACGTGCTGGGAGCAATGGCGGCGGGGATCCTGGCTTTCGAGGTGGGAATCTGCGCCCTTGCGGGAGGGAGGTGATTCTGGGTTCCTGGAACGTGGAGGGGCTCACCGAGGCAAAGGTGGAGGAACTCCAGGTTCACATGCAGGAGCTTGGAATTTATATTTTGGCATTACAAGAGACTCACATGTATGATTCCGTGTACGATCTTACAGACAAAAGTTCTATTGATCCAATCGGGCGGTTCAGACGATCAGGAGACCGCCGGCGTTGCGTCCCTGATCGCGTCAGAAATCCGAATAGTATCGTTGGCTTCCCGATGGTGTCTGCCAGAATTATGTTCATCAAGCTGCGTGTCCATGGTGGGAATGGCAGATCCTTGGATTCATGACGGGATTTTTACACGGAACTTGAAAACAAACTATCTGGTGCTCTGGCCGGGAACGAGCTGTCGTGGTAGGCGATTTCGACGAGAGGCTGCACAGGCCTTTCGCGGGGGAGTCCGCTCGCCTGGGAGAGCACATCTTCGGCAACCCAGCCGCGCAGCACAACTCGACTTCCAACCGGACGTTGCTGCTCGAGCTCCGCGGCGCCCATGATCTCGTGATCGCGAACACCCTCTTCAGCCATCCTCCAAAGCAGCAGGCTACATGCTACAATGTCGGTTCGCAGCCGTCCAGCCCAGCAGTCCCAGAGCATTATGGCCAGATAGATTTCTTATTATGCTCTGGTGCGCGCCTGGAGTGCGTGACAGACGTCTGGAGCAACAAAGGCATAGCTCTCGCTTCACACCATTTCTTGCTGTTGTGCTGCGCCCAGCTCGACATCGGCGACGCTTCGAAGTCGAGCAAGCACAAAGTAGATGTGCAGGCGCTCTCCCAAGCACCGCTCCAGCGAGACTTCAACAACGCCTTCGCGGACTTCACGGCAGCAGAGCGCCGGGAGGCCGGGCAGACGCTTGACGAGCTGAACAGTAGCACAGCCAACGCCGTCTCAGCCTCCGCTGCTGCGTGTCTGCCCCAAAACGGGCAGGCGCCCAGACGCCCATGGATCAGCGATGCCACGCTGGAGCTGATCGCAACCAGGAACAAGGCCCGGGCTGGGGGTCATCTGGCACGCGAGAACATTCTGATTGGCAGGATAAAGGCTTCCGTCAAGAACGACAAGAGCATCTGGCTGGACGATCGACTCCAGACCGGGGATTGGGACGAAGTTCGCACGCTGCGCAAGGGCTCGACGGCTGCACGGGGCAGAATGAAAGCTTCACGAGGGCGCCTGGTAGGCAGCGACTTACGAGCGCAAACTCTGGCAGAATATTTCGAAGCCGTGCAGTGGGCGGTGAGGCCCACCACGGCCGTCGACAGCCCCGAGCCACTGGAAGGGCGCACTCCCGACAGAACTGGGGCCGCTTGCAGCAGGACGTATGTGAAGCCGCGCGAGCTCTGAAGCGGAAGCGGGCCGCGGGCAAGGACGGCATGCCAGCCGAGTTCTGGAAGGCGGTGTGCGCGGCCGGGACGCCAGCATGCCAGTGGACCGTCTTGCTATGCCACCGATGTTGGCTGGAAGCCGACGTGCCAGGAGCCTGGCACGAGGCGGCTGTTTCCGCAATTTTCAAGAAAGGCGATTCTTCGGATTGTGCAAACTACAGACCCATATCCCTTCTGCCAAGTGGATACAAGCTGTATGCAATGATATTGCTGTCGCGCCTGAAGAAATCATGAGCCGAACACCGTATTTGGATTACTCAATTCGGCTTCCGTTCTGTTCATCGCTCAGGTGCTTGATCGAGGACACGTGGGACTCCGAGTCAGGCAAACTGATTCTCCTTGCGCTCGATTGGGCTGAGGCATTCGACAGCGTGTCTCCCGATGGCCTGGTGCAGGCGCTCGTCCGCTTCGGTGCGCCAGAGAAGTTCGCATCGGCGGTCAAGACCACATACACCAACCAGAGCTTCTGCGTGCGCGACGCGGGGTCCGTGTCTGATTCAAGGCCGCAGGCGTTCGGGATCTCCCAAGGATGCCCGTTGTCACCTTTCCTCTTCTCGATCGTGATGACCCTGCTGATGTTTGACATGACGCGCAGCATGCGCAGCAGAGGCATTCATCAGGATGGCTGGCTGCACATAAGCGAGTTGATCTATGCAGACGATACTTTGATTGTGGGTGTGACAGAGGAGTACGTCCGATACCTCATGGAAACCACAAGAGAGGCTGGCACTAATTACGGTTTATGTTTCAATTGGGGCAAGCTAGAGGTAATGCCAGTTCGTTGCCAGACAGAGCTCCTTCGCCCTGACGGCCAACCGATCACCCAGAAGGATAACATGGTGCATTTGGGAAGATACTCCACGCAGACGCCGGGAGCGGAGCGGAACTCAACCGACGCATTGGCATGGCTCGAAAAGACTTCGATACATTGTGCAGACTTTGGAGACATACGAAGATGTGCTTGTCCAAGAAGGTCATGATATTTGAAGCCTGTGTCATATCCAAGCTGATGCACTGTCTGCACACCCTCTGGCTGAACCAGGCAGAGAGGTCGCGGCTGGACGCCTTCCAAGCTAGATGCTTGCGAAAAATCGCCGGCATCCCTCACTCCTATCTCATCCGGGTGTCTAACGCAGCCGTATTGGATTCGTGCGGCAGGGAACGCTTGACTTCCACATTAGCCTGCAAGCAACTCGAACTGATGGGCAAGATCGCGTGTCTCCAGGACAACAATGTCTTACGGAGAACGGTATTCGAGCCGGGGTCATTCGTCTTTGCCCGCCCTTTCGGACCTCAGAGGCGAGGCAGGACGAGAAATTCATGGAAGTGCAATGTGTTTGACTTGGCTTGCGCAGCGGCTGGTGGCCGAGACGCCTTGCAGGAGCTATGGCGGCAAAGACCAGGCGACTGGCGCGGAATCGCGGGGCGCTATTGTTCACCGCTGTAGCATGCAGCGCGTTGCTTACGGGGTGGTGACAGAGCCACTCACATGGACTGGGACATCAGAGTGAGTCTGCCGCTGCTGTTTCCTCCTCGCCCTCCCCCTCCCCCTCCCCCTCCTCCTCCTCCTCCTCCTCCGACTCCTCCTCCGACTCCTCCTCCGACTCCTCCTCCGCGTCCTCATGCTTCGCAGCCGCGCCTCCGGCAGCAGTGCTTGTTTCATTATTTTTGCCAACGCACCTCTGACGTGCATGGCTTCTCTCTTTCGAGAAAGAGAGAGAGAGAGAGAGAGACAGAGAGAAAAAAACAAAACAAAAACAAAAAAAAGAGAGAGAGGGAGAGATAAAGAGAAAGTGGGGGCGGGTGGACTTGGGCGTGGACGCCGACGGAGAACGCGCCAGAGCTCGGTGCGCAGAAAGGCCTGCCGATCACTCCGCCGCGCCGGCGGCCGACGGCAGGGCCGAGGGCGGTGCCGCGCCGCCCCAGCAGCGCCTGCTGCGGAGCGCGGCACTCGCGCACAGCAGTGCCGCCGCAGCGAACCCTGACAGACAAGCGCGTTCCACTTCTCGCACAGAGTAACGACAGTAGGAGCTCGACCACAAGGAGCCTTGCACAAGACACCCAACCCTGAGACCCCAGGACGTCCCTCGATTTTGGGCGTAGCAACGCCACGCTTTCCATCGCAAAGCCATCGAAAAGCCCGAGAAGCCCTGGGCACCCTGGAGGCAAGCGAGGCGTTTCCTGGCATGGGTTCCCACTGTACTCGCAAATCCCCTGGATCCGCCGAGGAGGATCCATGATACACTACATCGATACAGAGGTGTGTTTTTTTTGCTCGGACGTTTGCGAGCCGGCACTCTGGCGAGCAGTGGAGCGCACTCGGTAGCCTGATGGGACGCACAGAGACATACCACTACTGTATGTCCTCCTTGGAGGCGCGCGCCCGACCCGAACATATAGTATACCCATATTGTGGTATATACCTTCCCGAGCGGCGTGGCCAAAAAAAGCGCCCGCCACGACTCATATCCGCCGGTCCGGCGTGTGAACTACAAGGAGCCTCAGCAAGAGCTGCAGTTCTGAGCCTAAGCAGAAACTTCAACTCTGCTGGGGGGGGTCGCCAGGGTGGCTCTGCCAGGGAAGGGGGGGAAAGGAGGGGGGCCTCTGGCGTTTTCTTCATGATTTGCGCATCCGGACCCCCCCAGGGAAAGGGGGAAGGGGGGAAGGGCGGTCCCCCACCTGGCGTTTTCTTAAAGGTTTGCGCATCCCCACGATGTCTCGGGGGGTCCCAGGGACTCCCTCAGATCTAGCCGCTACCGCCCCCAGGACCCTCCCCTCGGAACCCTCCCTGGACCCCCCACCCCGGGACCGCTCCAGGCACCCCCAGAGGAGAAGAAAGAGGACCAGAAGAATCGAGGAGGGAGGAGGCCACAGAGCCGCGAAGATCACCGAATCCGAAGCCCCCCCGATCGGCGGCACTGACTGGAGGCCACTACAATACTATAAGATTTCTCGGTGCGCACGTCGCCCACGGGGGGGCAACGCTAGAAAAAGGAAGAAAACAACATAAAAAAACGCTATCAGCTTAATTTGTTGGCGCTCCGCACGGATTCCTTGGATCTGCGCCGGACCCCCCTCCCTGGCGCGCGGAGCGCGCCGGGGGCGGCGCCGGAGGCGCCGCCAGGGGGACCCTGCGCGGAGCCAAGAAACCCGCGCGGAGCGCCAAAAGTTCATGTTTGTAGCGTGATCTTCGCGACGCACACATCATATTAGTATGTTGGGGTGACGCCGACCTGAGGCCGCCGCGGGCAGCGCGCCGCGCGGGCCGCGCACCTCGACGCCCCGGGCGGTGCTCTTCCGCTGCAGCGCGGGCCCCCGCGACGTGCCCGGCGGCGCCCCGCCCGAGCTGACGCGGGCCGCACCGCCGAGGCTCGGGCGCTGCCCGAGGTGCCCCTGGCACGAGGTGTCCCCAGGATCTGGGGAAACCAGAAGTTGGCGGCGCGCACACTGGGGTGGAGGGAAGGGGGAGGGCTTCTTAGAAGGAGGCTGCTTCTCAAAGGCGCCGGCCTTACATCTATAGATAAGGCCCGCGCCTTCTAAAAAGCAGGGATGCTTCTAAGAAGCCCTCCCTCCTCCCCCCACCCCCTCTGCGCGTGGCTGAGGGAGGCACGGAAACCGCTGCTCCGGCCAGGATCTCGAGGCGGTTCTGGCGGTGGCGCGGAGGGCCTCCCAGGATGCCGAGAAAGGGGAAAACAGGCCGAGGGTATGTAGCGGCATGGCTGCCTTTTCCTCCTCCTCCTCCTCCTCCTCCTCCTCCTCCTCCTCCTCCTCCTCCTCCTCCTCCTCCTCCCTCCTCCTCCTCCTCCTCCCTCCTCCTCCTCCTCCTCCTCCTCCTCCTCCTCCTCCTCCTCCTCCTCCTCCTCCTCCTCCTCCTCCTCCTCATCGAGGCATGCCATGGCATGGCAGGGAGGCCCCGCGGCGGCCCGCCCCAGCGCGTCGCTCGTCCGCGGGGGGGCCTCCCAGAGGCCCTGGCGTTGCACCAGGGCCGCAGCCGCCTCTCCAGCGAGAGAGGGGCCAGGGCGGGCCCCAAAGGAGGGCTCCGGGGACCGCTTCGGAGCAGGGGGGCTGAACAAGGCCTCCAGAGCACCCCCCCACGAGGTCCAGAGGGCCCAGGAGGGCTCCAGAAGGCGGCGGAGAAGTGGAGGCGCCTTGGGCCAGTGACACGCTCAGCAACCCCCGAGATGGGAAAGCGCTCGGGCGCATGCCCTCGCGGCAGCTCGCCGGGCGGAGAGCGCTGGCCGCAGCCGCGGCGCCCCTCGCCACGCGCGCCTCCACTGGCCTCCACGTCCTCTGTGCAGTTGCGCCGCGGGGGTCGCGGCACGTGGAACATCGGCGCTGCCAGCATCTCCTCGGCGGTTCAACGGTGGGGGCCCTGGGGGACGGGGCCCCAGGGACGGAGTGGCCTCGAGCAGAGGAGGTTCAGCCCGGGGCCCCTGCCTTATCCTGAGGGCCCCATGCCGGCCCCAGCTTTGAACCACTCAATCTCCGCGAGCGACGGCCCAGCGCGGCGCGGGCACAGACGCCCATGACGCGAGCAGCAGTACTCGCCCGCCGTCCCCGCGCCCCACTCGCCTCCGTCGCCAGGCTGGCCGCCAGTCACCTCCCACGCCTCGCAGCACGACGTCCGCTTCTCTGCTGCCCAACTGCTCCAGGCGCCCTCAGGCACGTCTGCGGGCCCCTCTCCGCACGCTCGCGACGTTATCTCCTCAGCCGTGTCCGTCGCCTCGGCCGCGCGGCCACGACTCGCACTGCCCGTCTCCTCAGCCGTGTCCGTCGCCTCGGCCACGCGGCCGCGACTCGCACTGCCCGTCTCCTCAGCACCGTCCGTCGCCACGGCCACGTGGTCACGGCTCGCACCGCGCGTCTCCTGGGCTGTCTCCGCCGCCACGGCCACGCGGCCATGACCCGCACGGCCCGTCTCCTCAGAACTGTCCGTCGCCTGGAACACGCGGCCACGACTCTCGCTGCCCATCATCCCAGCCGTGCCCGTAGCCTCGGCCACGCGGCCACGACCCGCGCTGCCCGTCTCATCACCCTTGTCCGTCGCCTCGGCCGCGCGGCCACGACTTGTGCTGCCCGTCTCCTCAGCCGTGTCCGTCGCCTCGGCCACGCGGCCGCGGCTCGGGCTGCCCACGATGACCTGGAGGCCGTCTCCGACGAGCTTCTGCGTCTGCGGGGGGTCCTCGAGCCGGGGTGCCTCGGACATCGCTATGAGGCTTGGGTTCGGGCAGCCGGTCGGCTGCGCGTGAGAGCAGCACCACATGAGCTGAGCGGAGGACCAGTGCTTTTCCCAGTCGTCCGTGACCTCACAATCGTATGGCCGCACCGCTGCGCCATCAAAGCGCATGTGCTGGCCTGACCAGACCCCCTCGCATCGTCAACAAAAAACACGACGGGACGGTCTTGATCATAGGCCACCGGAGGCCTTTACCGGGCCCCAGGACCGTCGAACCCCCGACATCGCAAGTTTGTCCACAACGCGGACCCCCGGAGGTCTCGACCCGTTCACCAGAACGGGGTTGTTCATTCTGAGCTGTTTCGTGACTGTCCCAGGGCCCGGCGATGGCTGCCAGAGCCCGAAGGTTGTAAAAAAGTGCCGTCGTCAGTCTAATCACGACGCGAGGAGGTCTGAGTCTGCCTGAGCCCACGTCCAGGGACACCCCTGGGCAGTGCAGGCCCCACCGCGAGCAGCACCACTCCTGCCGCGCACGGGGCCACCCTGCCGCCGCCCCCTCGCTGGGGCCGCAGTCGTAGGTCGCGGACGCCGCGGTGGCTTGTGCCGGCGCAGGCGAGGGCGATGCCGCCAGAGGAGCTCCAGGCGCATGACGACGGCGAGCCGCCGGCTCCTGCTGCCCGCCGCTGGAGGTGGAGCTCCCCGCCAGAGCGGCGACCAGGGAGCGCAGGCTCTCCGACCCTCGGGCATGCCGAGGCGCAGCAGCGCTCGCCTCCTGCTCCCAGGCGTCCTCGCCCGCGGCAGCCCCAGCCGAATCGTCCAGGGCAGCCCCGGCGTCTCCGCCCCCGCAGTGCACGCCCTGCGCGAGGCAGCACGCCTCTCTTTGTGGCTGCGGCCAGCGGGCAGGCTCTCCCTGCTGGCAGTCGTACCCCGTCCCCGCACCCGCGCGCGCGGGGGCAGCAAGCACACCTCCCAGCAACGCTGTCGGCCACGACGCCCATCGCAGCATCGCGGCGCAGCGAATTCGCGGCCCCCAGAGCGCGCGGCGGTGCGCACCGCGCGGTGGAGCCGTGGCGACTGCCCGGGGGCCAGCTTCATGGTTCCTAGGTCCGCTGGCCCAGGGCAGGAGAAAAAGCACGGTACCAGGGTGTGCGAAAGTGATGATGATTGCATGCAGTTGCTTGCCCCTCGTTCCATGTGGACTGTTCGTGTGTAACGTTATGGCTCAGGGCCCTTGAGCTTCAGGCTGTTTAGCGGAAAGAATATCGCAACCCCGGATCCGAAGTAGCAACTTCACATTGGCAGCGGAGCAGTTCGCCCCGTGGACTGCAGAGCTCGTGGCATCGAGTGGATAGCGGACTGCCCGCTACCAGGCGCATCGACCGCCCCAGACAGATACTCAAGCAGCAACTGGAGCACACAAGGCTGGAAACCTATAGACTCCTGAATTACACGTAATTTGTCCAGTCCTCCGGCATCATGGCGCCGAAGGCAGCGCCAGCAGATGATGACGAAGCTGGAGGCCAGTCAGGCCCAAGCTACAACGTAAAGGTTCCGAGCTTCGACCCTCAGACGATGACTATGAAGGACTTCCAGCGACGAGTGGCAATGTTCAAGATACGCACGCGAGTGCCAGTGGAGAAGCAGGCCGCGGAGTTATACGGAGAACGCAAGGGAGACGCTTGGGTTTACGCCGAAGACCTAGATCCGACGACAATGCAGGAAGAAAAAGGAGTTCAGACCCTTTTGGATTTCCTCGCCGAGAAGTTCGATGATGAGAAAGTAATGGAGTTCAGGACCGAGCTGAAGACGTATTTCACAAAGATGAGACGCGAAGCTGGAGAAGAGATGAGAAGCTATATCAACCGATGTGACACGCAGGTGTCAAGATGGAAGACACTGAATATCAAGCTTCCTGACCAAGCGCTGGGGTGGCTATTTATGTGGTGGTTGGGACTTCCGACAGATCGAGAGGCTGGAGTTCTCAATGTGAACCAGAACAAGCATGAGCTGAAGCCACTGCAGAAACAGCCGCTGCTCAGCGTTAGGGACGCCAAGTCGCTAAACCGCAACAACCCGAGAGGACCGCCGCCGGCACCGCAGTCAGCACCAAGACATCCGAGACGATGGGGCGCACACACGACAGAGCAGCAGGATCCAGACGACATCGGAGCGTGAATTACCTCCCCCGCTTTCGCTTCCAGGCAAAACCAAGCCATACCACGCGCCTCCTCGTCAAGCGGCCTGACCAGTACAGGCCGCAATTTGGCATCGTTTGGTATCTCTTGGAAGCGAGGGTGGTCAAAAGCGAGGTAGGTTTGTTTTCCCCCCAGACGAGCCGGCCAACAACGAGACGTACGAGACTGGGGTCGACCCCGAGGACGTGCCAGAGAAGCTGCTCGAGGAGCAGGTCAGAGGCAGAGGCCGAGGTGTCTAAGCTGGAGAAGATGTTGCCCACAGCTAAAGATCGACAACGAGACGCGAAGCAAGCCCGAGGGTTTTATCATCGAGATCGTCTGCCAAGAGCCAGCAAGGGTGGTCCAGGCAAGGGGCGAGACCACGGCAAGGGTTCTGGAGCTGGCAAAGGATCAGATAGGATCGTGAAGCTGAAGGCCTGGACCCACTGTGCAATATCTCATCGGCGTGGACATTGGAAAGGAGATCCCGAATGCCCAGGTCCGCTCAAGAAAGCTCATATAAACTCAGGAGACGACGATCAGCAATCTGAGAGCAATCAACCCGCCGAAGGATACTTCGCGACCGCCATGAGCTGGACCGCGAAGGAGCAGCAGATCGCCAAGCAGAGTTCCTTCGTACATGACAACTACCCAACCATGAACGTGGTGATGGCATCTAAGGAGTAGCTATTGCAGCAAGGCGGTGGAAAGTTGCTACCAGATTCTTGCTGTGCGAAGACAGTGGGAGGTCAAGTGTGGTAGGCTGAGCTGGGATTGCAACCAACTGAGATGGCCGAACGAGAGATGTTTCGTTTCGCAGCAGGCAAGCCAACTGCCAGTACGATGGCCGCTCTCATCCCGCTCGCCGTCCAAGGGAGACATTTCCTGCTGAGGATTCCCATCCCGCCATGCCTGGTGCCGGGACTTCTATCCCAACGTGCGCTGGCGCAGCGTGGAGCGATGCGTGAACACGGAGAGGCGGCAGGAGAGAGCACCACGACATTGAAGGAGCTCGGATTGCAGGGCCTCGAACTGGGCCGGACGCGAAGCGAACACCCGAGTTCCAACGTACGTGAATTTGACAGGGCCCGACTTTTCTCAGTGGCTCCAGACGTGAGCCCCAGCCAGACAGAGATCAGGCTGCTTCCGACTTCGCGCAGGTGGTGGACAGTTCTGGGAGGGAATGGTCATCAGCATCCACATCATCACGACACCCATCAAGCAAGTCAAGCCGAGCCCGAAGAGCGACCCGAACGAGTACGAGTGCGGATCCGAGAGCACGAAGATCGATCCGAACTAGTCCGAGTACAGAATCAAGTACGCGATGATCGATCCGAACGAGTACGAGTACAAAAAACAGCTCAGATAGGTAGATCCGACCACGAAGCGCAAGAACGTAAACAAGCACGACAAGAGCGAGCCCAAAGAGAACAGCCACAGAGCAACAAGCCGAAACACGACAACATAATGAAAGCAAAGCAGCAGGCTAAACAAGCAGCAAACAAAAACAAGAAGAGCATCCTCAAGACCAGCAGCGAGTCTAAACACGACAAACAACATGAGCAGCATTCTGGGGCTCAAGCGAGCTCAGAAGCTACGACGACCTCGGCACGAGATGTTGCCAGTGACTGTCTTGGGATGGAACCAGAATTGGGACATCCTAGAGGTGGACACGAACAAGCGCTACAACACGGCCGCTTTCGTGCGCTGGAAGCGGCTGTTCAAGATACTCTATGCGGCCGTGGTGATGGCCATAGCACCCGCGGTGGCGCTCATCTTTCACAACGGACGCCGCTACGGGGAGAGTATCTTGGAGAGCAAGTACGAATGGGAGTCTCAGGCGCCGCAAAGGCTGCTCCCGCTGAACAACATGTTCAAGGAGGAGCTCCAGGACGAGATGGAGAGCAACGGTCTGGAGTACAAAGGCATGGGCTGCCGGGAGATGCGAGTGGTGCTCAGCGAGATCAGGATGGAGAACGGCCAGGGCAGGAAGAAGAGCTCGGCGACGGACCCCGACCTCAAGGGGATCGCAAGAATGAAGCGCCCGGAGCTCATCGCGCTGGCCAAGAAGAAGGGCATCAAGGTCACCGAGGACACGCTGAAGGACAAGATCGTTTGCTTGCTTCAGGGGTTAGCTCCGAAAGCGATCCAGAAGGAAGAGCCGAAGGAGGACGAGGCGCTGCAGCAGCTGTCGATTACGAAGGATGCTTCGAGGGCTACTCGCTCTCGCTCACAGGCCTCCGTGGTAAGGCCGGCGCCAGAGATCAAGGAGCCGCCTCCGATCTCAACCGACTCCGACCAGGACCCGATCGGCGACGAGGGCTTCGTGGCCGAAGATCTCGGAGCTGAGGAGGACCAGCCCTGGGAGGTGATCGCGCCGAGCGGGAAGAATCGCCGGAAGCGCTGCGCGTGAGGAAGAGGATGAAGCCAGGCCAGACGAAACGATTCGAGGACATGATCGGCAAGGCTCTGATGTTCCTCACGCGGCAGACGGCGTTTCTCGGATCCTTCCTGCTCAAGTCTCTTTTCAGCGAGGGAAAGGCCATCGTGCAGGGTCTGCGAAACGCCTTCAACGTGAAGTCGGACATGCGCTACGACCTGATGCAAATTTACGCCAGCGAGCACGCTTGAGAGATTGCGAGCCAATTGATCACTTCTACAATTATCAGCAGGCGAGAAGTTCTAAGGACATATCACGCATGCAGACCGAGACTCGTGACCTTGGAATTCCCAAGTACGCTTTCGACCTAGCTCACGAGTCAATTATCGAGGCGAGTATCGACAACAAGAACTAAGGAGAAAGCGGATGCGTGATAAGCCATTACTCAACTTCGTGGAGGAGATGAGCATGCTGCAGCTAGGAGCTAGTAGAGACATTCTCGTGGAGAACCCGTGGGATTCTGAAGCGTTCAGGCAGCCCCAGCTGATGCACGTGATGGCACATCCGAGAGTCAAGGAGGTGCGAGTCGACATGTGCACTTCAACCTACGACACCCGAAGACTGGAGGGAAGGTTCGCGAGGCGACCAAGCTCTCAGTATCGAACCAGTCGTACGCGAAGACGTTGGGCAAGATGTGCGACAAGCTTCACCGACACGACCATCTGAAGGAATCCTACTTCACGCGACTGGCGGGAAGATATACCAAGGAGTTCGTGCGAGCCATCCTGCTGGTGTATCAACACAGCAACTCGACCTAGCCGATGGAGTACGGAGAGTTCGCGGCCGGCGACCTGACAGACCTCATGGGCGGAGAATCCGACGAGTGGTTTACTACGAGAACGTGGGAGATCATAAAGAGCTGCCGATTAAGCTACCAAATGGTCCTGAATGGTCCCGCGTGGGGAGACTCCGTATCACGGACATGGACACCGACGTAGTGTTACAGGACTTCGAGAAGGCCAACGTCCCGCTGAGTATGACCAAGAAGAAGATTGCGAGGCCCGCTCGCCTCTCTCACACGGCCGACTTCATCGAGCAGATCGGCCTGGACTGCTTCACGATCAAGGACAACGACGGCGAATCTTGGGATTTTCTGTTAGTAGTGGATTTGGGTACTACGTTTCAAGTGGCGGGAATGATCGAAAGCCATCATTCGGAGACCTTGGTGCGAGTATTTACGCAGACCTGGACGAGTTAGGCTGGACCCCCGTCAAGCATGGTGGTGAATCTCGAGAGAGGTTTCGGCTCGGTATTCCAGGAGATGCTTGACATATTCCATTGTACCGTCGTGCCCGTGGCAGGACAAGCAGCCGGGCAACATGGCCGGACTGAGAGACAAGGAGGCTGGTGGAAGCTAGCAGAAAGGACGATCAGCCACACTCAAGCCTCAGGAGAAGAAGACATCCGCGTGATCGCGTCCGTCGTCACAGGTGCCAAGAACGCTCTACGACGGCAGTGTGGA